TATATATATATATATATATATATATATAATAATCGCATAAGTTGCGAGGAACCTCAAGGATCTATCTTAGGACCATTATTGTTTGTAATGTATATGAATGACTTATTTTTAGCATCTGATAAATTATATCTTATATTGTTTGCTGACAATTCCAATTTGTTTTATTTACACAGAGATATAAAAATTCTTTTTAAAATTTTTAGTGAAGAATTATCTAAAGTAAATGAATGGTTTATAATTAACCGCCTTTCACTAAATGTAGATAAACCTAAAATCAACCAAATAAAGTTGATAATATTCCACTTAAACGGCCAAATCTTTTATTCAATAAAACAGATGTAAAAAGGGAATCTACTGTTAATTTTTTAGGCGTAATTCGTGATGAAACCTTATGATGGAAGTTTTAAATCCAATCTATTGAAAGTAAAATCTCTTATAATATTTTCGTACTTTACAAAACAAAACCATTTTTAAATGCAAAAGCTCTAATGAAAATTTATTTTCATTTATTTACAGCTATTTTTCTTACTGCAACGTTGCATAGGGAAGTACGAATTACGGAAAGCTCAAAATCTTTATAGTAAACAAAAGCATGCTTGTAGGATTGTATATGGAGCAAACAAAACTGTTTATTGCGAACTGCTATTAAATTGTCTCAAGGCCTCAAACATTTATAAACTAAACATTTTTCAAACATTACTTTTCATGTTTAAAATGAAACATGTAATATCTCCATTTATATTTCATTCTTATTTTAGCGAAATATCTCAACAGTATTTAACAAAGTTTTTATAGGATAACTTTATTGTTCCGAGAACTAATCTAAAAATAAGCTCTTATCGAATTCAATATCGAGGACCTTATTTATGGAAAAATTTTATTAAAAACTTTAATAAAAAACAGAACTCTTTAGAAAAATTTAAAACAGTTTTTAAAAGAATCTTACTTCAATTAGATTTTAATTTAATAGACTTTAAATATTTTTTTTGAAAGATAATTTTAAAATAGAAAAAACGCTTCTATTAGCATTAAATATATTTTGTTTTAGGTATCAAATATATTTGTACTAGTATAAAAAACTTTCTTTATTTTTAAGCTTTAATATAAATGTCATTTTATTATTTGACAAAAGTTATGTACTCTTTAATGTTTTTTTGTATATTTTATTCATATTTGTTTATAAACACGGACAATTTATATAGGGGGTCGGTGTTAAGACAGTCATTGTCTTCTTCTTGCTAATTTTTATAAATGTAATAGGTCTTTATTGTAAATATAGGTCACGGCACAAAAAAAAAAAAAAAGTATATATATATATATATATATATATATATATATATATATATATATATATATATATATATATATATATATATCAAATTTATTCATTCAAAGTTTAATTATTTAGTTACATTATTAATTTCTTTAAACTGGTTGATCTGTTTTGATTTATAATTGGAATTTTTATTTTACCTTTTAGTAATTATTCAAGATTTATTGACGATTGGTTATTTTTATTCATCGTTTTATTTTGTTTTTGGTCATGGATGAGAAGTTTGATAAATAAAAAAAATAATTGTTTACCCATTTAAAAATGAGAAACTAATTTTGCAAACTTTGTTAAAAAAACGTTTTAATTAAAATAATTTAAACGTATCATTAAACAAAAAACTCTAACAAAAACCTGTTGGGATTGTGGGAATAACAATTTTTTTTCGTAAACTATCAAAAACTCATTGTTTGAAGCATTTCAAACCTTCTAAGAACAGAGATTTAAAAACGTACATATTTTGCTTGAAAGTAACAAAATCATTAGGAAAAAGAGTTATGATGTAAAAAATGTAACAAAATATATATATCTAAAAATTTGATCCTTTAATAATAATTTAAAGTTTATAATCAAATCAATAGCAAAAAAAAAAAACAACATAGCCGACGAAGCCGGGGGGCAAGGAACACGCAGTTAAACTGTAACGCGAAAAATTTTCTTACTATTTTTGTAAAGTTTAATATTACAATTTATGATAATTTTTTCTTGAATCTTTAGTGATAAATGCATTTCTTGAATAATTTGGTACAGCTTTTCTTAAATTAGAGATAAGAGGGGCACATTAGGACGCTTTTCGAAAAAGGTACCACAGCTCTCTTATTGTTTGACTAAAAGTTGAAATTTTGCAGATAAAAATAACAGTTAATAATAGTTAATAGTTCTTTTTAAAAAAAGGAAAATCCCTGCTAGTTTAAATAAATTACATTTGCTTTTCTTAAAACCAAAGTTTTTTTTCTTAATCTACCCTACAAGAGAGAGTGCTTTTCTTTTTCTTAAAAACTAACCCACAAGAGAGAGTATTTTTCTTTTTTTAAAAACTACCCTACAAGAGAGAGTGTTTTTCTTTTTTTTTTTAAACTACCGCACAAGAGAGAGTACTTTTGGACGAAATAGGGGCAGTTTAGGAATTGTTTCGTAAAACTTTATTTTTTTATTGAATAATAATTATAGGCAAACATAGTAATTATCAATAACAGCAAAATTACCAATAGACTGTTCTCAATTTTTTTTCATTTAATTTTTTTCTGGTATATTATATTCAAAAAACGTAAAATATTATTCAAAAACCTATCAATCTCATAAAACTTTAAATTTAAACATACCAAAGTAAGGAGTATGAATGTAAGATAAATTGAGATCAACATAAAAGTTTTCTCGTAAACCCAATTAAAAAATAAAGTTCATGGCATTTAACTAAGTTTAAATGTGTCAATTGAAAAAATAACTCTTACTTCGACACACATTTGCTTTTTTACTTCGCACTTTTACTATACAATTAACATACTACCATTTGAACAATTTTGTGGAGTTGAAGAAGGAGAAGGTTTAAACTTTATTTTTTTCAATTCTTTTTATTGAATTTTAGATAAATTTTTCTGATTATGCGTGAGATCTGATTGATAGTTTTCAAATATTTTTAGCACATGATAAATTTGGAACAAATCCGTCCTGTTTTTGAGATCTTTAGCCGATGTATACATAGTAGCAACCTTTAGCAGCAGGTCTTTGAGGTTTGCAATACATTTTAGGAGTTCAGAATATTGTCTATAATTTTACTCATTAAGTTTTAGTTCTTTTTTGTGAAGCGGCGTGATGTTAGCATCCACCCAATTGGATGGAACTGAAGGCAACTGAAATCTAATAAATATACTTGGTTGCAAAACAACTAGTAAGAACTTTTTTAAAATTAAATAAATAATAACTTTGTTTTCAAATAACTTTGTATAATAAAAGTGACATTATTTAACTCATAGTTTCACACACATTGTTGTGAATCTACACATAATCACATACGTGATTATGCAATAAAGTTGTAAAAAAAAAAAATTTAAACACGAATTTTTTGATGCCGTGCTTATTTGATGTTTTGATTCAGAGGGATCATTTATTAAAAAAAAAATTCCGAACAAAACTATTTATTTTAAAATGTTTATCATGGCGCAATTCTAAAATACTTAACTTATCAAAACACACATTTAAAGGTTTTGTAATGTAAAGAGCTATCCGGAGAATTAAATATACAAGAAAACATCTGGTTACCCATTATCTGGTATTTCGCCTAATAAATAAAATATGCTATCCGGGACATTATTATACTTAAAAACATACTTAACATTACATATGTTAAGAGTTAACTTTTAGCAAATAGATGTTTCATATAAGCTTTAAATTTTTTTTCCTCATGTATAGTTAAGAAAATAGACTTTGTCTTAAGAATCAAATTGTATACCTGAATATGTTTTTACAAGGCAATCTTTTACTTCAACACTATTGCCTATACAACATGCTAAACTTTGTGAGGCATTACACACCCTTGTTCTATTTAATACTCCATAACCATAAACAGCACTGCAAGTAGACCAACTGCTCCAAGGCATCCAAGAACCTTAAAAAAAAGCTAAATTATTAAACAATTAACTTTTATTGAACTTTTATACAATAATTGAAACAATAAAACCAAGAACAACTTGCAAAGCTTAGACTTGAAAAGCAAAATAAAACCTTTTCACAGTTATATATATATATATTTTCACAGTTTTATATATATAAATATATATATATATATATATATATATATATATATATATATATATATATATATATATATATATATATATATATATATATATATATATAAAAACTGTTTTGTATATATATATATATATATATATATATATATATATATATATATATAAAAACTGTTTTGTATATATATATATATATATATATATATATATATATATATATATATATATATATATATATATATATATATATATATATATATATATATATATATATATATATATATATATATATATATATATATATATATATATATATATATATATAAACAGTTTTATATATATATATATATAAAACTGTATTTGTATTCATATATAATCAAAAAAATATATGTATTCATATATAATCAAAAAAATACTATTTAATTCAAAAATCTTACTTATATTGCCGCTAACAACAATTAAGTTGTTTATGAAACCATTTGCTTGGGAGAAGGGATCCGAAGCATATACACTAACATTTTCAAAAGATTGAAAATTGTAGTTTATTTTAGAGTGCACAAAACTGCCATTTATTTTTACTGAGTTCACATAATGACTGCAATTCCAAAATTGACTTATTTCAATTTTCGTCCATTGATTTTTTGCATATGGTGTTATAGAAAAGCAATTATAATTGTAATCATTGTTTACGATAAAGCAAAACTCTAAAATTGAATCCGGATTTAAATAAACACTTGGTACACGAGAACCAACATCAAATCCATTTCCTCCGGTTGTGAAAAGAAGAATATTGTACCAATTATTAACTGGTGCTTCAATTCTTTGAAAATCAAATGTTATTAAAAACTCTTCATACAGTTTTGGTATAACTTTTAGTAAATTTCCTTGAAAAGTTGCAGTTACGTTGTTCTCAATAAGGTTATCTACCAAATTTTTGAATAAAAAATTACTTGTTAATGAGAATTGTTTATATATACATTTTAAAACAATATGTTATTCTAATTTAACAAATAATATTCATTAGATAAGTAAAAAGAAAGTGCCTAATAATATAAATATGATATCTAAAGATATGGTATTATTTATATAGCTCTAATAATGGTTGTTAGACTAATGCATGTCAAATATGTTTTTTTAATGTTACTTATTTTTAAAGTACTAAATCATATTTTATAATTAAAGTTTAGTAAGGTACACAAACTTTAGTAGTTAAGAAATACTTTTAAAATATTTATTTAATACTTTCAAAATATTTTTTTTTTTCATAAAATCAGGCTCTTTACTCTGTTTTTAATAAAATCAGGCTCTTTAGTTTTTGTTCTTTATTAAAATTGTATTTCACTGGAGCTGAAAAAAATAAAAATTCTAATTTTTATTTTTTTTTAGTTTAAAAATCTATTTCTCGCTGCCTGATCTTACTTGCTTTAATTACTTTATATATCACACTTACGCTATTTAATTTAAGTTAATTAAGATTTTACTTGACATTAAAACTGTGACTGGAAAAACAGGAAAAACATGCAGATATTTATATGCAAAGATGCCGCACCACTTTAACGTTTTAATTTTTATGTTACAGTGGAACATAAAAAGTAAAACGACATTATATTTTAATATTACAGTGTAACTTGTTTTACGCTGTAAATAAGTGGGCACGGGACCAAAAAAAGACAGCTTTTGAACGTTTAAAAGCTGGCCAAAACGTTCAAAAGACGTTTAAAACAAGTTCGATACGTTTAAAAAACGTTAAAAATACATCTTTTTTATGTACAGTGCCTACTAGTAACATTATAAATGTTATATATGGATATTAGTTATGTTTTTAGTTCTTATTGCTTGCGGTTTGTTATTATATTACTATCTTATAGAAGTAGTACTGTTTTTAAACTGTAGTCATAACAAAGAAGATTTAAATGATGGATTTAGCTAATATATGATGTTTTCATTTAGAAAGTAAAAAACAGTTTTATTGAATACATCGAAATAATTAAAAAATGATTATTTGCCAATTATGCAAAGGTTGGACAAATGCAAAAATGGATTTTTTTAATAAGTATTGGATGATCTGCTTACAAACTTACTTGTGATTTATGAAAAAATGTTTCAAAATCCAAAAATTTTACTTAAGTAATAAAGCTAAGGAATCTTTAAAACCAACCCTAAACCTCATTGCACAACAATTCTATATTTTTTAATTTTATAAAAGAGATTTTATAAATCGGTAAAAAAATATATCACCGAGATACGCACATTATTACAGCATTGTGAGTTAAAATTTTGAATGATTATTTAATAGGTATATGTGGATTAAAGAACAAAAATGTGCAGAAAAAATTATTAATAAAAATTTTACATAATTAGAAAATAATTTTTATGGTAAGACAGAATTAGGCACAGCAAATGCATACGAAGAAGTATATTGAGATACTAAGGTTATACGTATTATTGGAGAAGGTCCTATAGAAAAAGACGGAGTACATAAGAAATTTACTCAAAATTTGAGAAAAATATAAAAAGTTTTGTTATGAATACACGGGTCCTCAAGCAAACTACTGCTTTAATAACAACTCGAAGTGCCACACGTGTGAGAAAGTAGTACACCTAAAAAAATGATGTTGATCAGAACAGAAAAGGTTTGATGATAGGAGGAAGAGGTTTGAAGTTAGGAGTGAAACAAGATAAAATTTGCAAAGGATCAGAAAATCAAATTACTGCTAATACAGACAAAAATGAAAGTAATTTTTTTGCTTTTTATTCAGTATTTAAATAGGTAAAAAATCTGAGATGGTGAATGGATTAGTTATGATTCATGTGAAAATTAAGTGTAAGGAAGTTGGTATAGAATTTTATATAGTGGCTGCAGTTTCTCGAAGAGATTTTTTAGCTTTTAGAAGTGTGCAAGGAACGAGGAAAATTTAAAAAGATTTGAAGTGCATAGTTGAAAAAACCAAAAGGTCTGATTTCCTGTGTAAACTTGAGCAAAAGAAATACGTATTGGATTATAAAGGAAAATGATGTAGTTTGCCTAGAACTGTAGTAAATGGAAACATACAAATATTATTTGGAAGAGATTGGATTTAGAGATTAAACCTGAAATGGGTGGAATTGTGTGAACTAATGAAAAAATTCAACTTTTGCAAACAATTCTTTATCAGGGAGAAGTTTTTCACCGTTTGTAAATAGATTTAATTAGTCAGTTAAAAAAAAACAAGAACGGTAAGAAGTATATTTTAGTTACCACAAAATACCAGGCAAATTGGGATAAAATTGATTCGATTGCGGAAAAAGATGCCAATACCGTTCATTATTTCATTCTTTGTCTGGCAATCACTATTATTCATGTCTGAAATTAAAGCTCAGATTCCAATTAATTTGGAAAACAGAAGAATTTGAAGAATGGTAAAGTAAAATTGGCGAAGTCTA